TATTGATTTCAGAGAGGAAGGGAGAGGGAGAGTTAGAAACATCAATGATGAGAGAGAATCATTGATTGGCTGCCTCCTGCACACCCTGACTGGGGATCGAGCTCGCAAATGGGGCATGTCCCTTGACCAGAATTGAACCCAGGACCCTTGAGTCCACAGGCCAATGCTCTATCCACTGAGCAAAACTGGCTAGTGCAGTCATTGCCTTTTGAGAGCTTACATAGTCCTATGAGAATGACAGATGTGGGAGCAAATACACCAGACAATATAGCACAGGCTAACAGACATGCATGTTTTGGGGTGAGCCTAAAAACGAAAGCACCTAGAGTGGAGCAAGCAGGCCTGGTGGCTTGAGGAGCTGACATTGAAGCCAGGCCTTGAAAGTCTAACAACAGTTGTCTAAGTGGTGAGTGTGGGGAAGGCTTTCCAAGCGAGGAAGCAGTGTGCCTAAGAGCCATGAGGCAGGAAAAGTCGCAAACCTCAGAGGAAACCATTTGGCATGGAGTATGCAGGGGAGGAAATGATAATAAAGAGAAGCTAGCTAGAGCCTTCCATGACACCTGCAGGTCAGATTTAACTGGGAGACCATGGGGAGTTATTAAATAAAGTCAAGCAGCCTATTGCTAGGATAAAAATGAGTGTTCTAGAAAGAACACTGTCGATGGAGGATGAATTGGATTGGGGAGGACAATACAGAATTAGGGAAACTTTGGGGAAATCCATTCAGCAACGGCAAACATGTGCAGTGAGGTGAGGCAATGAAATGAGAAAAGAGGGACTCTGGAGGGCATTCGGAGATCAGCTTTCCAAGGTGCAGGAACTGGCTAGGAAGGCAGAGTCGCAGAGGGATGGCAATAATCGGGGGGAGCAAAGGCATGCCCAGGAGATGGGGGGGTCTCTAGGTCTGTGGTTGCATTGGGTTTCAGATGACCATGCTGGTCCTTAGGAGGCGGAAGTAGTAGGTATGAGCATATTTATGTTGAGGGGCACTCGCTTCATGAAACTACTAGTGTCACAGTGCACAGATTCATGCACATTGAAAGGAAACATTTAGAAGAAACATTTTAATATTGCTATTTGTGTCTGGCTAATGAAAAGAAAGTAAGATTCTACCGAGTCTCCTATCTACCTACTCCAGGGCTTCTGTGAGGATCAAATGAGATGAGGCAGGGAAAACGCTTTTTGCTTAAACTATAAAGTGTGTTTGCACCTGGCTATAAAGCACATCGGGTTCCTGGGCTGAAGAAACTCCAAGGAGGCTAGTTGCTAGGGAGAGGAAGCCAGGCTTTGCTACTTGATGTCAATATCTGGCGCCCACAGTGACCGTTTTATGGGCTGGGCTGTGGACTGCATTTTGTGCCATGGTGTCTTGGCAGCGTTGGCTGAGATTTGGTGGGGTGTCGCTCCAGGGTGGTGGTGGGGTCTGTGTCCCACTTGGGGAAAGCCAAGTGTTGGTTTGTGGGTCCAGGTCCGTAGTGCCGTTTATTTTTAAATGGCTAGTGTGCGTCATGGCAGCTCTTGCAATGAGAATCTACCCCCTGGTGGTCAATTCACGTCATAGCTACCGGGCGGACGGACAGACACTTAGCCTTTTATATACATAGACTAGAGGCCAGGTGCACAAAAATTTGTGCTCTCGGGGGGTAGAGGGGGTCACTCAGCCTGGCCTGTGCACTCTCGCATTCTGGGACCCCTCGGGAGATAACCACCTGCTGGCTTAGGCCCACTCCCCTGTGGCAGC